ATATTTTCTATGAACATCTCAATACTGTTTCCTTGTTACCCTCCCTCAGTTATGAAATACCTTAAAATTAAATAACGTTATTATTCTTCAAAGAATTCCTGGAACAGACTTTCATGAAAAATAAATCAATCAAAAGTGTTACTTATCCGAAGTCATTAAAGTCCTAAATTAAAAAAAAAAATTATTGCTTAATTTTTCACAAATGATTTCAAAAATAAAAGCGTTTATAGCACCATGACATTGTGTGGGCAAATCCTTAAACTCCAGGGATCCGATGTAATAGAATTTCCAATGTAAGAATACATACACGAAAGGATATGAAAATCACTAAATAGTTCCCTAAATAATAGTGTACAAGTCTAGCAAGTTCCTTCCTAGGAAATATATGCAAAAGAAAATACTTCTAATTCTAATGAAGCCCATGATAAGATTCATACAATTGTACCCAACAAAGCATAAGTGAAAAAGGTGAGATAAACAGTGATCATGAAATGAGAAGAAAACGAACAGGATTCATGCTAAATGAGGCTTTTTGTGATATAAGAGTGTAATTTTGCTACAATAAAAATGATCTTTAATCCCAATAGAAATATTACTTTTATTTATTTTGCTCTGTACAAAACATGTAGTAGTAGCATTAAGGTAGACTTTCTCTCATATTTCTTGTATTTAAAAATAAATGGAATTTTCATAAAATCAAGAAGACAATAACCTACATGATGGTATCAGTGAAATTAAAATAGACCGTTTTCTACTTGAGACAAGGTCAGGTCAAGGTCATTACCTTTATTCCTGGACATTAATTATTAAAAAAAAAATTACTGTTGCAAATCATCTAATCCCTACTTGCACTTCAAAATATTAAATGTTTTTCTTTTTGCATAAAAAAGATTAAGAGAAAAAAGCAACCATAGAGGGCCTTTAGGATGATATTACCAAATTGACATAAATAATTTCACTGAAATGGATAATGGAAATGATAAAAAAAAAAAACCCAGAAAGTTTTGATCGTTTATTATGAGAGAAAAAATACATTTTTACGAATTTTTGGCTCAAATCAGTACTCAGATTGGAAGCTTATAAAATCAAACAAAGTTCTAGTTCGTTTGAAAAATCCAATTTTTTTGATATATTAAGGAATTTTAGTCCCTTATTATTTTAAAATTAAACTTACATTTGAAAAAGTTCTTGAAATCTTTGATTGTGTAGAAAAGAAGATATTTTAATTCGCCTTCATTCCGCCAAAAATACAGTCCCTGCTAGTTTTCAAAACTATTTCAAGTTTACAATTGTGATGAGGAAAGAAAAATATGGTCTTTTAAATCTCGTACACCTAAATATATAAGACAGTATGTTTTCTATTAGGTAGTATACGTGTAATTAAGAAAAGCACTGATGCTGTTGTTTAATTAAACATAAAGTTTGTCAAATTGTTGCTATAACTTTTTAAAAAAATTCGTTAGAACTGATTTTGAATGACTGTAGTTTATTACAAGAACAAAAGATGATAATAATCCCCATAGGGGCATGATTTTTTTAATGATTATTTAAAATGCTGTATAGGAAACACCGAAAAGAGACTTCATTTATTTTATCACTCCAAACTCTCTAATATATACATCAGTAAACTATTTCCTATTAATATGCACGATATTTTCTATGAACATCTCAATATTGTTTCCTTGTTACCCTCCCTCAGTTATGAAATACATTAAAATTAAATAACGTTATTATTCTTCAAAGAATTCCTGAAACAGACTTTCATGAAAAATAAATCAATCAAAAGTGTTACTTATCCGAAGTCATTAAAGTCCTAAATTAAAAAAAAATTATTGCTTAATTTTTCACAAATGATTTCAAAAATAAAAGCGTTTATAGCACCATGACATTGTGTGGGCAAATCATTAAACTCCAGGGATCCGATGTAATAGAATTTCCAATGTAAGAATACATACACGAAAGGATATGAAAATCACTAAATATTTCCCTAAATAATAGTGTACGAGTCTAGCAAGTTCCTTCCTAGGAAATATATGCAAAATAAAATACTTCTAATTCCAAAGAACGCCATCATAAGATTCATACAATTGTACCCAACAAAGCATAAGTGAAAAAGGGGAGATAAAAAACAGTGAACATGAAATGTGAAGAAAACGAACAGGATTTATGCTAAAAGGAGACTTTTTGTGATTTAAGAGTGTAATTTTGCTACCATAAAAATGATCTTTAATCCTAATAGAAATATTACTTTTATTTATTTTGCTCTGTACAAAACATGTAGTACAGTGAAAACTGTCTAATCTGACACCTGAATAATCCGAAACACTGAATTCTGACTTTAATTTCTGTCCCATTTTAGTATTTTTCTTGTGTTTAACACTGTGCAATCCGACACCCTGTCTACTCCAACACAAAATTTTTCTCCCATAGCATGTCGGATTAGACAGGTTTCACTGTAGTAGCATTAAGGTAGGATTTCTCTCATATTTCTTGTATTTAAAAATGAATGGAATTTTCATAAAATCAAGAAGACAATAACACTACATGATGGTATCAGTGAAATTAAAATAGACCGTTTTCTACTTGAGACAAGGTCAGGTCAAGGTCATTACCTTTTCCCTGGACATTAATTATTAAAAAAAATTACTGTTGCAAATCATCTAATCCCTACTTGCACTTCAAAATATTGAATGTTTTTCTTTTTGCATAAAAAAAGATTAAGAGAAAAAAGCAACCATAGAGGGCCTTTAGGATGATATTACCAAATTGACATAAATAATTTCACTGAAATGGATAATGGAAATGATAAAAAAAAAAACCCAGAAAGTTTTGATCGTTTATTATGAGAGAAAAAATACATTTTTACGAATTTTTGGCTCAAATCAATACCTCTAAACCAACTATCAATATTCCATGTTGGACCATTATTGGCCTAATAAAGGTAACCCAACAGCGATAATACAAACATAATGTAAGACTGGAACAACGATGTTCTGCTATCTGGGATTCACATCCTGTTCCTGAGAACTTTTAACTAACATTTATTCAGTCTTCTCTAAATTCTCATGAATACAACGCTCATGATAAAAAAAATCATAATTTAAAGGGTTTTATTACAAAAAAAAAAATGCATGCACACAATAAAAAAAATAGGATAAAACACTCTTTGGTGCTGTGATCACTTATGATCAAAGTTAAAATGTTGAAAATATCATATCTAAACAAAAGCAATCATCCAATGAATAGCATGGACATAGAATATCCTCTTAATTATTTCAGAATGGGCATCTAAATTTATATTTGGAACCAACTTTGTCCCAACGTAAAGCTCAGCAGATAATAATAAAATTGACACTATCATTTAGTTGGCAGTATAATAATTGGACCAACGTTGGCCCAATATAAATATCCCATCTTTAAAACACCTAAACAAAATAACACTCTTGCTAATATCGGGCCGACGTTGGGCCAACATTCTATTACCAACTTGATAAGACATTTTCTTTAAGGGTGTATTACAAACATTGGGCCAACGTTGGGCCAACATACTACTCCCCCAACTTGATAAGACACTTTCTTTAAGGGTGTATTACAATCATTGGTCCAACGTTGGGCCATCATCCTACTACCAACTTGATAAGACACTTTCTTTAAGGGTGTATTACAAACATTGGGCCAACCTTGGGCCATCATACCACTACCAACTTGATTTGACACATTCTTTACGAGTGTACTACAAACATCGGGCCAACGTTGGGCCAACATACAACTACCAATTTGAAAAGACACTTTCTTTAAGGTTGTATTATATACATTGGGCCAACGCTGGGCCAACGTCAGCATCCTTCCTACCTTGGAAAGTAAAGTGAATGGAAATTGCTTACGTTGGACCAACGTTGGGCCAACATAGGAATTCTGTCATGGTGAGAGAGGGTTGACATGGTAGCATTGGTCCAACGTTGGCCCATCGTACCCCGGCTGTAGAACTTCCATGGAACTCCATGGATATACCATGAAAATCCATGGAAAAAAGTGTCCATGGAAAAAACCTGGAGTATTTGGACTCCTTGTCCAGGGAATAATTTGATAAAATAAGGGTGGAAAATAACTAGAAAATGTCCATGGCAATATAGCAAAATATTCCATGGACACTTTCCATGGACACTTGTCCATGAATTTGACTAGATATTCCATGGCATATTCCATGGCATTTCCCTGGCAGTTTTTCCATGGACAGTCCATGGAACTAGTCTGGAAATCAGTACATGACAAATTCTGTTTGACATTCTGCTACGGGAGGTGACGGGCAAATATCCTTACTTGACAAAAGTTCCAATGTACATAAATACCAGTATTGTCTAAAAATCATACAAATCTTCTGCATCAATAAAAAAAACTAAAAACATGTAAGTGATGTATTCATGTATTCTTAAATTTTAAAGAAATTCAATTATCTGTACAATAATTTTCCCCAAAACATCAATATGCCAAATCTGAGTTTTATCAAAATAAAAAGTGAGCTTATATCCCAGCCTTCCACCTCCATTTCTTGACAATCCTACACATAATGAATGAATAGGTTTAAATGCATTAATTTGACTTTAAGATAAGCATTACTCCTAAAAATCATTACATTAAATTTTACAAACTGTTCTTTACATGTACTACATAACTTCTTGTGGTCATTTACATTTGCACCAAGGTTGTGCACTGACCTAAAAAGTCACTTTCAGGAAGGCTTCAGTATGTCCCTAATTTTATCACGAACTTGCTATGCTGTAACAGCATATTTCTCAGCATAAAATACACAAAAAATAATTTGATTTTAACATGAGCATAACTCCAAAAAAATAATTACATCCAAATTTCCTACAAGGATGCTTTTATACACTTCTGTCTTAGACAACAACAACAAAATGTGTCCTAAATACCTACCAAATTCTGTACAATGGTTTAAGAGCTTACAAACTGTTCTTTACATGTGTATAATACAACTAGTTGAGATCACCACAGGCGAGTACACAGGGAAGTACACAACTTGTCAAAAAAGTCTTTATTTCGGGAAGGCTTCTGTATGTCCATAATTTTGTCACGAACTTGCACTGCTGCAACGGAATACTTCTCAGCCATGATTTCTGCAGAAAGAAAATAAATAGCATTCATGGTAAAAGAAAGAATCCAAGTGTTTATTTTTTTAAACTTCTCATAAAAAAAAACAAAAAAAATAAAAAAAAAAAAACAAATTAAGAGATGTTTGTATAACACTTGTGCTTTAATGAAATTAATATAGAAAAGTTAAAACTTATTCAGATTTCTATCCTACCCCCAAATAATTGGAAGTCCAAGGGTTATATAACTCTGTCAAAAATCGTCTGAACTTATCAAAGTTAGAAAGAACTTGACCTAGATATTCTTATGATAAATCTCTATATGAAATTTCATTTTGATATGTGTTACCTCTGCAAAGAAAATAAACAAAAACAGCAAATTATTCAAAATTTTCCAAAAGTCCAAAAAAGGGGCATAACTCTGTCCAGAATGGTCCGATCGTACCCCCCCAAAAAACTTAATATAGATATTTTTATGATTAATATGTATACCAAATTTCATTTCGATATGTGCAACCTCTGCGAAGAAAATGAATGGAAACTGATGGCAGACCGACAGAAAGCAGCAAAGCAATATGCCCTCCCTTCTTAAAAATGGGTGGGGGGGGGCATAAAAAACAATAGAGTACTGTTCTTTTTAGTAATTTTAGTAATTCAATTTAATTCAAAGTGAAATCAAAACATAAGTATGTAATTCAACTTACCTTTGTGTAGCCTTTATATGTTTTCTCTTTAAGAACTTGTGGCTTCTAAAAAAAATATAAGTGTATTCAAAAATCTTGTTGAACAAGTATTTAGATTGTCTGAAGGATAACGAGAGAGATTTCATCTACCTGCAATTAACCAGAAACGATTACTCTATATGAAAGTATGTTTTCATCATCATGACTTTAATATTAGAATTATTTGCCTACATACCCTTTCCTTTCGAGCAACAACAGTCTTGTTTGCTTTCCTCTTTCGCTGTGGTGTTGCCTGTCTGCAAGAAGAAAATGCCTCATCAAAATATGTACTAAGATTTCAAGCATCTGTAACGAGTAATTGCTGAGAAAACTGTGATGAAAATTATTGCTTTGTTGCTACAGACAGATCAACAAGAATTTGACATCGGATTTGAACAAAAAAGAATTCCACCATATGGCCAGAAAAGATCGTTTTTAAGATTTCAAGCATCTTCATTCAATTAGTATTTGCTGGGAAAACAGTGACGAAAATTTGTTACACACTGACACACACAAGAATTTCTCCACTTTCTAGCATTGGTTAATCAACGATCTTTCACTCCCTAATTCTAGACACATTCTGTAGCCAATATCTATATTTTAGCCATCTCCCAACCATTCAAAGTTGTCTCTGTATGCAAGAAATTCGCTTCAAGTGAATTTTCAGTACAAATAATTTCAATCAAGCGAGTTTATCACTTGTAGAGATGACTATAAAGGATATATAAGGTAGTCTAGATGGATAAAATATATAGATTAGTTAAAAAATGTGCCTAGAATTCATAGGGAGTGAAGGGTGGTTAATTGACCGATGCTGGAAAGTGGAGAAATTCTCCCGCAAAGTGTGCGAAAAATATTACACCATAAATTGCACCTTTTACTGCATTTCGGAATCTGTAGCGTTATGGTCAAAGACAAATATATAAAACCATAACGCTACAGATCTGCAGCTATATTATGACACAATAGAGGTACGTTTAACAGTTAAAGTTCAATGACATGTGTAATTAATAGCAATTTATTGTATATTTTGCAAAGAACACTTTGATTACTTGATCACTTACTATTCAAATTCAACCTAACTTGTTTTGGACGCCATTTTGTTTCCATTTTTTGAAATTTTATTGTAAAGTAAAAATAAGTGTTATTACACAGGCACCAGGGATGTTACTTATTTTTTTGAAATAAAAAAATATCTACATACCTAATAATAATAAGGTATGGGTATATTTTTCTACTAAAAGAAAAATAAGTAATGTCAGGTGCCTGTGTGTTGTTATGATAGTCACGGACACCACTAAAATTTTTGATTGAAAATTGTCACAGAGGGCAGAATTTCGATGACAATCGACAGAAAATTTAAAAATTATAGATTATAAATGTATTTTTTGAACAAAAATGGTTTATCTGAGAACTATATCAAATCAGCTGACTCAATTTTTACCAATGTTAATTGTAACTTTATTAAATTTAGTAACTTTTGAGTTTAAAAACATTTCTGTACAGTAGCTCTCAAAACGGATGTTGTGACGTCATACACCGAAAGAGGAGGCCGATTTTCACATTGATCAACACAGAAGTAAAATAAAGTTTAGTTTATCTATCTTTTAATATTGAGAAATAATATATAACGTCTCCACTTTCACTTAGTCTGAGGTTGCACTTCGTAGTCTAGAACTTGTAAGGCTATTTCTAATCACTATTGACATACATACGTACCATCTGAGATCCGAGCTTTGCCAAATGTTGCAATGATGAATTCCCCTTCTATATGATGATCTTTTATCGGTTTTCTAGTAAGTTCTTTAACGTTCTCAAAGTTAATGCTGACGAATTTGTCTTCCCAACTGACGACAGCGTCCTTCTGTTGCTCGAAATGGCGCGGTTTGGAAACTTTGGCCAATCGGATCGGTTGATACAAATTCTGACCAATGAGACCTTGTCTATTATGATCACTAGAAAGAATCCAGTCAATGCTTAACTGATTCGTGTAATTTTTTTAATTGTTACATTATGAATTTTTCTACAGTGAAACGTATATACAATTGAAATAAAATTGTTTGAATATTTATATAGACAAAATAAAGCTTTGTGTACGAACTGACTTATCATATTTGTTACTTGTTCACAAAACATAAAACATTGACTTACTTTGTTTCCGAATCGGTTTATGTACGAGTTGTCTCAAGGAAATCTGATACACATGAACGTTTGAAATTGCACACAGATGTACCAAAACGTAAACGTTTGAAAAACGGTAACTGGAAAAACCCGAAACCCCCCGATTTTTGGAGAATACCCATACAGGAGGGGTGAAACCCCAATAAAGTGGTGGAAACCCCATAAAATTGAATGTAATGGGGTACTATAAGGCCTAAAGTGATGTTTAATTGAATGATATTGACATCCGTAAATTTTTATAGCCAATTTTACCTCAGAATCGACGGGTTTCTTTTTTCTTGATATACTGCACACCACGCCCGATCTAAATTCGCGATCGCTGAAGTCGTTTCGAGTAATCCGTGGAAATAATTACTGTAACCTTGATCAATATGAATATTATATTATGTATGAATATTATTTTTAAAAAAATTATTTGTAAGGAAACCTTAAGAATATAAAAGAAGTATGAAATATTTATCATGTTGAAAGACATTACAGTGCAATGTTTAACTGAATTTTTTTAAAGAGTTTAACTAGTCCATTAATCAAGAAATAAAGTCATTTTTATAAATTCCAATCATTTATAATATGTAATTAAGTTAAATTAATTAATGACTGAATCTGTTAATGTAATTATCATAATGAAAGACATTACAGTGAAATTTTTAATTGAATATTTTTTTTTTTTTTTTTTTTTAATGAATTTAACTAGTCCATTAATCAAGGAATAAAGTAATTTTTCTCAATTCCAATCATTTATAACATGTATTCAAATTAAATTAACTAATGAATGAATTTGTTAATTTATTTAATTTTTAATTAAGGTGTTTGTTTTGAAATGTTTTCTTCTATGTTTAATAATTAATTTTTAAATTCAGTATCCATTCATTATTATTTTCCAGTTACTAATTTTTTGTTTTAATGTTTTTGGTTTTTTTTTTTTTTTGGGGGGGGGGGGGGGGGGGGAGTGGGTTTTTTTTGTTTGTTTTGTTTTTTATGCAGGTAATAGAAAAAAATATACTCATTGATATGAGAAAGCAACATGTATCCATTACAATGAAATTATTAGAATCCAGGTCTATGAAATAAAAAAGTCTGATAAAAAATAATAAAAATGTGCATGTTGCATATGTGAATCCTTGTACAGTGGGCATTGTAACATTATTGTGAGAATATTATTCACACCTCAGCTAGCTCTGTTGTTTTGTACTGGGATAGACAGGCACCCCTGTGTGTGTACATGCACTATATACACAGCTGTTGACACTTGGTCAACTTGATAATAAACACCTTTTGTTTAAACACCTGGGTTCCCAGCTAGTCTGACCAACCCCCCTCTGGAAGGGCATGTGTATATACATTGAACCTTTACTATTCTCAATTGTACAGTTATGCTTTACAGAATTTCATTTTAAAGGACGTTAGCACACACATAAGGAAAATATGAATTTTGATAATTTTGATAATTCATGACAAATTAATAAATAAAGACCTTTCAAATTAGTAATACCTGAAAATATTCATAGTTTCCTTATGTTCCCAGCTCTAGCCCACGTGGAGGCCTCCTTAATTGTAGAGCCATGATTTGAATTTTGAAACAGAAAAATATTAAAGCCAAAGGACCGAAAGATGACCAAAAGATAAAAAGAAAATAAAAAAACTTTTATTAAAAAGTTTTTTAAAAGACTTAAAGATACTGTATCATTATTCCTAGTCAATCTTTTGTTCAAATATAAAAATATTACAGCCAAATGAAAGTAATATACATAAAATAAAATAACATTATAAAAATTTTAGAGAAAGGAATTTATAATTTGATTAGCAACATTTAAAAAAACAATTATATTCCTAACCTAACCTAACCTAACCTAACCTAACAAAACACCAAGCAGTATTCACTGGTCAGCAACCCGTCTGGCGGGGGAGGAATACTGCCTGATACCAACCCTACTCTAAGTTCTAACCTTAATAAATAATTGAGCAAAGGATGGCTGATATTTAAAGACATGCATGTCACAAAGATTAAAAGTTTTGTCAACACCTAAAATTGTCTGTCCACTGCAACATAAAGTTTTAATGTCAGTAATTTCGTCTTCTGTGTATAGGATTAAACAGGGTGCTTTCCCCTGATATCTAATGACTGCATGACTCCCTCAACTATTCCCCATATTACAAGGCACCCTGTACCCATCCAAGGTCCTGCATCAGCTCCGTCAAATCCAGCACCAATCCCGACAGCAGCTTCATCAATTCCTCCACCTGTACCCATACCAAGTCCTTCAGCAGCTCCCTTAATTACTCCTACTTTTTCTGAGCTTCCTCTGTAGTAATTCCTACAACTCCTCAGGCACCTGTTCCATCTATTACTTATTCAGAACGAATTGCGGTAATTGGTCAAAATCATGTGTTAGAATTAGAGAATAGTGTAGCAAATGGTTGTGTGAATTTTACGTTGCTAAATAATTATATTGAGTTCAATTTTTTAGTGACAAAGATACTAGCTACAACAAAAAGCTTTATTTATAGTCAATCTTTCGCGGAAGAGCAGTTGAATTTTGTCCAACAAAAGTGTTTCTGCAAGTGGGAGAAAAAGACATAAATTCATCTTCTGTGTCAGAAATAGTGTTAATAAATGCAAAACATTCTTGAAAAACTGTTAAGAAAAGATTCGGTTCAAAAAATATTCATTGGAAGTCTGTTTAGGCAAATGATTTAATTGTGGAACCATGAATCCAGCAAAGTACAATAATTTATTCTACGGTTTTTGACACAAATAAAGCACTACAAAGGAAATATGGAAATTCTCAGAATATTTGAATAAAAACATTTGGCATGAGAATGGGAATTATAGTTTGAACAGAGAGGCAATGGAAATTTTTAGTCGACAGATTCAACTGGCGATGAAATGTAAAATTACATAAAATACCTATGCTTGGAGATGATCAAATATTTTCAGTTCACTTTCAACCAGTCCAGACTAAGATTTTTTCATAGTTAAAATTCAATCAAAACTTCTGTTATTTTATTTTGTGGTGTAATTTTTTTTTACTTTTCTTTTTTTTTTTCTTTATTTCATATTTGTTTTAATATAAAGACAATTCAAAATGTAAACAACTGAAATATTTAAAGCATCTGATTTTTTTTTCTAAGAAAAGAACAGAAAAAGGTTACTTTGAAATAAAATATCTATATATTTGAAAATTAATATATTCTTTTAATTTACTATTTCTTTCCAGGTTTCAGTATTTTCATATTTTGACAATGATTCATTTTTTGTTCTCTTTGTATTTTACATATAAGTAATTATTATTTTTATTCTAAATTATTATTGTTGCTTTAAATTCAGAATTTGTCTAAAATCTCAAAAATAAGTTAAGTATTTTCATATTTTGAAATTTATCTAGTTTTTTGCTCTCTTTTTAACATATAAGTAATTATTAATTAATTACCATTACTATTTTTTTTTTAAATTATTATTGTTGCTTTGAAACTTTTGGATATTTTTATATCTCTAAATTCAGAATTTCTCTAAAATCATCTTAAATTATGGCTCTACAAAAAGGAGGCCTCCACATGGCTAGAGCTGGTTACATTGAGATGATATGAATAATTAGTACACAAATTCATATTTCATTAATGACTAACGTCCTTACATTTTTTGTTAAATACTTATTACATAATTAATATTTTACTATATAATTGTGGAAATTATTATGAATTATTTTATTATTATCTATGCAATTATATTGACAAACAGCTCGCTTCGAATTTAGATCGGGCGTGGTGTACGGTAAACTCGTAATGGCGCCCGATTTCCGTCGATTCTGAGGTAAAATTGGCTATAAAAATTTACAGATGTCAATATCATTCAATTAAACATCACCTTAGGCCTTATTGTACCCCATTACGTTCAATTTTTTGGGGTTTCCACCACTTTATTGGGGTTTCACCCCTCCTGTATGGGTATTCTCCAAAAATCGGGGGGTTTCGGGTTTTTCCAGTCACCCTTTGAAAAACACTGAATAATGAACTAGCGGGAAGAAGTTTGCATCGACATAATCATCAACAATTAAGGTAAGTTTTTAGCAATGAATATCACAAATCCACATCAATATACTTAAAAAGGAATATCTTTTGGAAAGAAAGTTTTTTTTCTGCAAAACTACAGTTTGTTAGATCGATCCCCAAGAAGTTAACTGAACTTCTCCTAAACAATAAACATTACAATGGGCATACAGAAAAAAAGAATGTCAACCAAAATTATTCCTTCATTAGTGTCTTGATGCTGATTTATGATATTTTTAACCAAAACAAAAATATCTTTTTTTATACTGTAAATTTATATTCCACTTGCACTTGAGATATATACTGTATCACAATCGGACAACAATTTGGGCAAGTGGTCCCAACCTGCAGATGTATTCCACTCTGCTTAGCCAATAATTTAAGCTGATGGAGAGTAATTATTTAACTCTGATTTTGTACATAAACATTGGATATGTTTTTTGTTTTCTGAGCATCATAGGCCCAAGAAGTCAAGCTTAACCCTGTTACATTGAAAGGGAACTAGATTATGTTTTTAATTGACTTACTTTGGTATTAAATAAATATTGTTTTGTAATTTTAACATTTTCTTACTTACAGAAATGGACTTGTCAATGTTGTGTGAGAAGGACGGGGTTGTGGATGTCCCCACAGAATCTTTGTAAAAAAAAATGCTATGGAGAAAACAAAACTTGATTCTTCGCATTGAAAGTTTCCATCCAGAAATTGACCTTGGTAATTTTTTTGTCAGTCTAGCAAAGTATGAAAAAGGAAAACAACCATAACGCAGGTGACATTTGGTGCGTCTAGACTCTGACGTCACATGACGTCGTATGTAAGTTGCAATACCAAGAAAAAGCCTGAAAAGTGCTGAAAGTTAATGAATAACATTTCGTTTTCTATTTATCTTCAATGTATATCCATTAAATCAAGGCGAAAAAACTTTTTTTAACATATATATTATTCTCGCGAGAACATAGCTAATACAAGTGTTGCATTGTGATCCAA